GTTGCGATAAACATGGGAGTACAGGTATTGTGGGGGGGCAGGGGAAGAAGACACAACAATCACAACAATTCCTTGAACTTGTTAAGACAAGTGAACTGACATGATGTTGATGGGGGAGGGGAGAAAGGGAGGAGGGAAAGAGGAATTGGTAAAGGGACACAAAAATCAACTACATTGTATATTGATAAATTTAAATAAATAAATAAAATAGGCTGGTGTGAGAGAGACAAGATAGTTACTTTGGGGTGGATAATCAGGGCATTACAGAATTTTTTTGGGAAAAGCGAGCCTCCCAGAAGCTTTGGAATATCCGAGTGCTGCAGTGGCCCTGAGCCAGGCTGCTTCTCCTGTTGGAACATTCCAGATTCAATTGCAACAGCAGCATCTCTCACTTCAGCTAAGTGACAGTGATCAACCTCCTTAATGCCTTGCTCAGACAAACAGGAGGAAATTAAAGGCTCAAAAAGAGAAATGCAGTGGCTTCTCAGCGTCCCCTCTAAGGCAGGATCCAGGGCAGGTGCTAGGGTGGGTGCTGGGCACTACCACCCTCTAGCAAGCCAGCAGGAGGCATCTCTCGCAGCTCTGTGAGATGGCATAGAGGGTGCTTAGCTCCCTTCTCCCCTCCACCCTGTCATAGTGGAAAAATACCAGCTTTGTCCAAAATGAATGTATTTACCTTGCCGGGGATTAAACTGTCTGCCTCTTGCTAATCTCTAAAATAAAGGGCCTGGGCTCTTTTCCCCGCCTTGTGTTTTAGTCTCTGCTTCTGGATTGAGTCACAGGTTCCTGCACTTTGTCATTGTCTTGTCTTTTCCCTTTATACTTCTGAGTGTGTGGTGATGTTCAGGAGCTCTTTTCAGTGATGTTTCAATTGAAGCTGAGGAGGAGGAAATGACAGGTCAGGGCAAGGGAAGGAGAGAGATAATTTTTTGAATATGTCATTGTCTTGGGTTTTCCTGACTCAGCCAGAGGATGACTGAGCAGGAGGCTGTTTCCAAGCTCACAACATTACAATTTGTTTCTACTCTGTTTTTTCCGTAGGTGCAGGCACTGAACTAGCCACGTCCACGGGATGGAACACAGCCTGAATCCGAAATCGTCGATGGCCACTGGAAGGTCCGAGGCCCCCAAAGGCCCACTTGTCTGTACTCCCGCTGCACCCAGTACTGATGCTGTCATCACTGTCCCTTGCAGCTGCAGGCTCACTCCCCTCTGCTAGATGTTGGTCTTTCAGGGCATGACTTCTGCCTTTTCCTCAGTATCCCCAACTACCCAGCATGCAGTGTGGACCAGAATGGCAGCTCAGAAGCCCTCTGCTCTGCCCAATCTCCAGCCCTGTGGAGCCTCCTGACTGGACTGCTTCTTGGAGTCTATTCTCAACACAGAAGACAAATGGATGTGTTCAGAATGCAAGTCACTTCTGCACTCAAAACCCTGCCATGAGCAAACTCAGCCAGAAATTTATGAGACAGGGAAACGTTGAACACTAAATGAATATTTGATGAGACTTCAAGAAGTAGTTTTCATAGATTTAGGCGGGATAATGGCATCACGGCTTGTTTCTCTTACGGTTCCTTATCTTTTGGAGGAAACATACTAAAATATGTAGAAATGAAATGATGGAATGATTTTTGGGAACTCCTTCCAACTGATCCAGTGGTGGGCAGAAGTGGCTGTTGGTATAAATAAAACAGATTTTGCAATGACTCAATAAGTGTCGAAGTGGGCATTGGGTACATGAGGGTTTATTTCATTATTCTTTCTACTTTTGGGTATGATTAATTTCTTTTTCATAATGAAACGTTTTTAAAAATATTCAATAGCTCCATAGTTCACTCACAGTAAAAGTCAAAGTCCCTACAGTAGCCCACGAGACCTGACATGAACCGGCTCCCAGCTTCCCTGACTTCATCTCCTTCTCCTGGCCCCCTTGCTGGCTCCAGTTGCACAGATCTCTGTGCTCAAGCACGCCAGGCATGCACCTGCCGCAGGGCCTTGTCTCTAACTGTTCTCTCTGCCTGTTAGGCTCTTCCCACAGCTATAGGCTTGGACTTTCTTGATGAGACCTTTCTGCATCACCTACTAAAATGTTAATTACCATGTTTTTTTCCCCTGCCTGCCAGAATATAAACATCATGAGGCCAGGGATCGTCCTTTTTCTCACTGAACTACCCACTTGCCTAGAATAATGTTTGGCACCCAGTAAATGTAGAAGAAACATATCTTGAATGGATGAAACACAGATGAATTTATGGAAAGAAAGAAAGGCAGAGGTGGAAGAAAAGTAGCGAAGATAAGAAAGGAAAAGATAAACACAAAAGGACAAGGAAAAGCCACTGGGTGAGTGTCCCCAATATGATATTGGCAGAGCTTTAAGTAGAAGCCATATCCACAACCTTTTTAATTACATTGATGTTCTTCCAAACTGGAGAAGAGGAGGTCCAGGTGGAAGTTGAAGGGCACAACAAGTGTACAGAGGCAGGAAGCCCTCTGCAGGGCACCCCCTGCATCCAAATGACTGACTTCCCTCCACGCTCCCATCAACTCCTACTGAAGTCCACTCGCTCCTGCAGGGCACCTCAAATGCCACCTTCTCCCTCGGTCATACTGGTCAGCTTCCAGCACCCCACTCCCTCCCTCAGTGGTTTCCCCTCAAGCTGAGATCCCTCTCTCCTCTGAACATCCACACTCTTTTTCAGTCTCTGTTGAGGCATTTGGGATATCTGTTTACATGCATCAAGTTTTTTATCCAACGGAAAGCTCCTGGTGGTTTAGACCTTAATCTTTTCAGAAAATCCCAAAGCATTTAGCAGAGTGCCTGTGCATCATAAGAACTCGGCATGAGCTCTGTTGACAGACTGACACATGGAAGGAAAGAAAAAAGGAAAAAGAAGCCAGGGTTTGGAGACACACAGTCCTAGATGAGAGCCCCTGAGAGCCCACTTATATCAGAGCATGTCGTCATCTGTGGAACAGATGAAAGGGCCACTGTGAGGACCGGCACAGAAACACTGTATCTCACTCCCACCCCAGTCATCGTCACCGCCCCCCTCCACCTTGCCTGCTTCTCTGGCACTCCTTGTTTTAGTCCTCAAATCTCCAGACCTGGTACCTTTGATTAATTTCCAATGCCCTTCGGCTGTGTTAAGCTTGGACAAGAACAAACCCCTAGTACACATGTGGCCAGTATTGCTCACAGGGGTCAAAAGTGTTTCTGAGCTGGCAAGCATACTCAGCAGGTTCCAAGAAGTCATGTCCAAGAAAGTGTGGGCCTCACAAGCAAGATGTTCCCTTCTGTCCTTAATAAGAGTAAATTAGACAAAGACGTAAACAACTTTCACAGTCATCTGTATAGAAACCGTTCTACTTACTCTCTAATACTATATTAAGAAAAGTAATACCTGCAGCAGTTCAATGCAAAATTAAGCAAGGTTCACATAAACATTAATTACATAATGCAGAAAGACTGCTGTTTTCTCTTAAGAGGGTGCATGAGCACGTGGAGAGGAGGGGGGCCGTGGCAGCTGCCGCATCTCGCTGCCCACCCAGGGCCAAGCCCCACACTGGGTACTTTTTCTCACAACATAGCCAGTGGCAATGCCTTCCTCACTGCCCTAAGAAGTCAATGGGTGTGGAGAGACTGGATGACTTTCAAGGGTGACACAACTGCTGAGCAGTGGAGCGGAGCCTCAAAGCCAGGTGCATCTTGCTCCAAAGTCCATCTTCCTCATTTGAGTCACAGGGAAACTGAGGCCAGGCCTGGGGGTGCTGAATGGGAGACGACATATCCAAGGTCTTCTAGGAAGGATGTGACTCTGCTATCTCACCCACATGCCTTCCTGACACCCCATCCATGTCACCTAGCCTTCAAAATATGTTCCTCATAAAATCATGAGGATTCGAGATAGTTACAGGAGGGAAAGTTGTTTGAAAACCAAAGTTCCCTGGTGGCAGGGACAGGGTGGAGTCTGTGTTCAATGATAAGAGCAGGTCACCCTCTTCGGACTCAGGCTGTGAGGTATGATGGGGGGGCCCGAACCCTCAGACAGAACCAATCCACAGCAAATACAAGGCACCATCCACCGTACAGAGCTACAGAATCTCCACGAACAAAGAGGCCACACACGGGACTGGAGCTGCCTCTGCCAAACACCAGCAGCCCACTCCCCCCAACCTGATGGTGGTCGCCTGACCTCTGAATGAAAACCTCCAGGAGCAGTAAGCTGCGAGTCCCTGGAGCTGCCATCCCATCTTTGGACAGCTCACCATGTGAACTAGTAAAAGATGGCCCAAGCTTAAGGGTTGGAGTTCAGCAAATGTGAGTTGACTCCCTCCTCTGTGCCAGGCACCCTGCTGGGAACTGGGGACACAGAGTTGAGTCTGGGTCCAGCCCATTTTGCTCTGGGACATCCAGGAGAGCCTCCAACACAATTGTCTTCTACATCTTTTCTTCTTAAAACACATGACATTGTGTCAGGAGCTGCACAAACTGGTGAATTAAAACCCATAAAGTGTGCACAGTGTGGAGGAGAAGGGAGGTGCTTAATTAAATTAAGTGGAAAAACCATGAGATAGTATGATATCCAATAATAATATGGGTGTTTAGATGCAGCTATTGATCCTTTCATCCCTATTTTCTCTCACTCTTTTCTCAAGAAGCCCTGGCTGCCCCATGTGCTGGGTCCACAGCCCGTGCTCTGTGTCCTATCAGCACTGGGCTCTGCTCTGCTGGGGCTCTGATCAACCAGAGGTGTCATACTTCTACACACGGGACTCATGGCACACACAGCCTTGTCTCCATGACCCTGGTCCCAACCCAAGGCAGAGCACACAGCAGTAGACCCTCCACCATGTTCGATGCACCAAATCCAACCCTTCGTTCTACTTCCGATATGCATGTCAAGCTCCTGAGGCTAGCGTCATCAACTCTGCTTGACCTTCCACCATGAGGACCAGTGTGGGTGACCTGGGACACCAGAAAGGGAAGATAGTTTACTTACTCGGAGGCCTTGCAAACCAGGAGGTCCTGCCCTGCCTTCTGGGCCCATCAGACCCTTTAGGGGGAGGAGAAACAAAAAAAAAAAAAAAAGAAAGAAAGAAAGAAAGAAAGAAAAGGAGAGAGAAAGAAAGAACAGTAAATGTAGAGATCAACAGGTCAACAACAGAGGTCATGCCCCTACTCTCAAGGGATAGGGGATAGCATCCCATCCCAGTGGGGAAACGGGGGTGTCAGAAGGGAAATAACATCCCATTATCTCAGATCTGTAACACTTTAAAACCCATGTACCTATCTGATCTAATTAAGTATGTGTAACAATTAAAGAGGAGGTAACATCATTCACACTTTGCAGATGAGTGCAGTAAGGATCAAATGTTGACATTGGTGGTTTGCATGAAGCACACAGAAAAGAGTGGTCTGGAACCCAGGTGTCCTTAAGCCCAGTGCCCTCCCCCTGAGCTTGCTGTCTCAGGAAGAGCTGGCTTGGGTTGTCTGACTCTCGGGCAACAGTCCTGTGGAAAATATGATGGCACGAAGGTAAATAAAATTGTCTAGGAAGGATTAATTAAACAAGGAACATGGGCATAGGGAGGGGTCGTACCGACCTGCTTCACCTCCTCCCCTCGCCCTGCCTTGTATCTGCAGCAGGACCTCAGTTATCTCTTCTCTGCGGTGAGGATGACACACCCACCTACTGAACAGTTGTGAGGACCACAGGAAGAATGAACACTAAACACGCAATGCAGCACTGGGGCCTCCTGACAGTACCCTGACTTATACCCAAATGAGAGCACCCGGAATACGGCACAGAATGGGGGCGGGCAACTGAGGCCCCGGCTTTTGCTTTGATTCTGTCACCACTTCCAGGCTACTGTTGGTCAGAAACGCCCTCCCTGTGCTTCAATTTCCTGATCTTTAATAAATATTATCACACCAACAGCTACTATAGCCAAATTTTGCATAACTATTAATAGACCAGGCTGTATTGAGGTCCAAAGTCTTTTCTATAGATAACATCCTGTAAACGAATAAATGAATGGAAAACGGCCATCACTGAAGGTGTGGATATCCCTTCCCCACAAACAGCCTTCTGCTGAGTTCAGGGCACACAGTGAGAGGAGACCCTGCTGCTGTGAATTTTCTTTGGGCATCAAGAAACGCCTGGCATTGATCTGCCCAGCTGGCCCATCAGCCACTCAATCAGACATTGGTAGAACTACCAGGGCCTGTTTCATCTCAGGTAAAGTCAAAAGATGCCAGCATTTGGATGCAGAACACTGCAAGCTGTTTCCATTTAAAGAATGGAGTTTATTTTCCTCTCTCTGGGACTGCTGAACACACACTCAAAATTTTCCACTCTCGACAGCAGTCACTGGAGCCAGCTTCTCAATTTGATTCAATCCAATGAATATTTAGGAAGCAACTTCTCTGAGGCAGCCCTGAGCCAGGTACTCCTGGGGATTTGAAAGAAGAAGATAGAAATGACAACTGATATCTGCACTGGGCTTCATATGGCTTCATAAAGCACCGATTCGTGCATCAGTTCATTGAACCCTTACAGGAGGAAATCATCATCATCGTCATCGTGGTGATGAATTCCAAGTTAAAGGTGAATTGAATGAAATCAGAGAGATTAAGTAATTACCAAAGATGCAGAACTTTGGTAGAAGAACTGGGCCTTGAAACCAGATGCTCTGGCTACTAATCCCAAGTGCCTTCCACGGCCCTATTGTTCTTTATAAACTCACACTGCAGCCAGGCTGTGCTTTAATGCCCCTCTTGAACATCTGCTGTGGGGTCATACTTCTCCAAGCCTGTGTTAAGTTCTCTCCATGCAATAAATCCTGTGGACTTAGAGATGGGAGAGATACTGGTCCAGACCTCAAGAATCTGACAGCCTTGGACCTCTCAGTACTGTTCCCCTTTTAATAAGGCCTTCAGGTAGGCTGTTTGATTTTTCAACTCTGTCCAAGAGAATTTCATCACCAACACCATGCATTGTACTAAATTCCAACCTATCAGGAGCATCCAGCCTAGAGGAATCTTCAGAACCACAGGCAAGACTGTTGGGCGGGGGCTGGGGTGAGGTATTTTGGTGTGTGAATGTAGGAAGGTCCAAGACCGTCCCCATGTCCCGTACGATGAACCATAGTAACGATACATGTAAGGAATTTCCATTAATCATCCACAGACTGCAAATGTTTACTCGCAGTTATTTCTCTCTTTACATATCTTCTTCATTAGACTAGGAGCCTGGTCCATGTGCTGTTCCTCCTTCATCTTCAGCCTCAATAGGTGGCTGCAAATGTTGAGGGTTCTCCTCTCTTTCCCTCATTATCATAACAAAATCTGCATAAAGACTGAGAACTACCCATTTATTGTTATCCCAGGAAGAAGCCAAGGAGCCTGCCTCATGACTAGGCAGGACTAGGCATCTTCAACTTCTTACTCCTTAGTGGGAACCATGAAGTAAACTAATTGCCCTTGACACGTCTCAGGGGAGACATCGCAGCATTGTGCACACAGTGAAGAAAAGGGCATGGGATGGACAGTCAGACAGATCTGGGTTCCAAGTTCGGTGTTGCTTCTTCATGGCTGTGTGGCTTTGTGCAAACCGCTCAATGTCTCGGCACCAATGTCCTCATTGATAAAAGATGAAAAATAACACCTTCACCCTTACAAACCTAAATGTACGTATTTGCATATGAAAATTACTGTATTGTAGACATTCGGTATTGCCAAAAATGGATCTGAAATACATACATATATATGCACAGAGAGCTAAATATTGAGAGTATTCTGTACTGGCTGCATTATCTAGTTTAAGTCTCTCGACAATAATAATAGTGGAAGACTCTGGAAACTGAGCTTTGGAGAAGTTATAAAGGCAGAAGTTAGCTTTTCTGGCCAAAAATCTTTGATATAAAATTGTTCTAATTATGCTCAGATGCTCATGACCTGTGGCCAGTGGTTTCACCTCTTCAAGGCTCAGCGTCCTCCTACGTCAGACAGTGGTATCAACAGCACCCACTGCTCGGGGTGACGTGAGGGCTTCTGAGATAGTGCAATGCTCAGCCATGGGAACAAGTGTCATTTTCCAGACTTGGAGGTGTTCAGAGAGGACTTACCGGAGCTCCTGGTGGCCCAGGTGGGCCCTGATGACCTCTCGGTCCTGGAGCGCCCTGGTAACAAAAGCCAAACACACGTTAGCCATGATTCTCTCTCTACGTGATCAGGGCTGCCACCACCCTTTGCCCTTTCCCGATTCAGAGTTTAATTCCTGAGTTCCCAACAGGGACCCAGAGTCATGGCTACAGGCATTTGCACTCCTGGCAGAAAGCTAACTTGACACATTTCTGAAAAGCCTCATCTGAGCTCAGCCCCGTGGTCACGCCTTTCTACTTCTGCTGTACCCGGACTCCCCACAGTGACAGGGCCTCACCCTTACCTGTTCTCCCTTCAGGCCCTCTCTCTGCACCTGAGAGACAAAGCAGGTGTTAGCAAAGCATTTTCTCAACAACAACAACTCTCTGAGCTCCACTCAGGACACTCATGCGATGTGCTGTGATGCAGTGGTTTCTGACTTTTCTTTGATTATATCCCACTTTTAGTGATGAAAGCCTCCTATCCAACTCACACCATTAGAAGAGTTCTGCCTTATTCTTAGAGGTCAGGACTCTTCCATCCTCCCAATTCTATGAGCATATGAGTCCATGAATCAGAGCCCTAGTGACTCACCACAGAGCCAGGGACACCAGGAGGTCCTGCAGGTCCCGTGTCACCCTGCGTAGAAATAACAAGCATTTCAACACCGTTACTTGCTGCCCCCTCCCTCACCCCCACCCCTCAATGCCCTTGCTATTCTTCCAGGCCCAGGGGCCACTTCCTTCTCTGTGCCTCAGCACGTGTATGTCATCACACCTGGGCTTACCCCCTCCTTGTAACAGTTGCAAAGCTCTGTGTCTGATTCTCATCTCTGCCTCAAGATCACAGGCTTCCTGAGGGCAGAAGTTTGTTTTCTCTTTTGTGCACATCAGCCCTGTGCCTAGATCTGCAGTGCTCCGTGTGCCCCTCGTGGCTCTTCACAACCATTTGCTGCTCTGGAGCAGCACCTGCTCCACTGTCCACCAAGCACCTGCTGCACCGGGCACTGTTTTAGGCACAGCAATTCTGCCTTCTGGCATGTCCCTTGTGCTAAGTTCATGATTCAGCACATAGTCAGCATTCAATAAATATGTACCAAATAAATAACTAAAAAATGCTATGATAACCCCCATCCATTTTCAGGAAGTCATTTTATATAAAAGACTTGTCTCCTGCCTCCTTCTCCTTGGCCTTCAGGCCACCTGGGCTACGCTGGCTGTGGCTGTCCAGATTTCCCAGGGCATGAGCTATGTCTTTGTTCTAAGTGGGGCATATTTGTCAACTGTGGTGATAGAAAAATCTGTGGTGCTCTGATGCCAGGGGCATATATCTAAAGCAAGGAGACTGCTTGTAGGCAACCTCCCCTCATATGGCTAGGGGACCTAACTTTTCCTTTTACCTACAGCCTAGCTCAGAAAGTGTGGGGAGCATTCAAACTATTGTTCAGTAAGTTGGCAACTGAATGAATGAGTCAGTAAATAAACACGAAAGCAACTATTAAATTCTAATGCTGGGGAGTTGGAAGGATACACCATGCTTCACTGCATAGGGAGTACATTACATGGACAGGGACTGTCCTCTTCAACACCAAAGCAGATGCAATCACAACTTGCCTTCCGAGCACCATTGTCTCTGCCCCTGCCCAAGACTTGGGAAAATCACCTTTCTTTTTATAGCATCATGTTTTTCTAAAAATCTCAAGTAATCATGTTTTCATGTCAAAAAGCTTGAGTGCCAGCTTTCCTTAACACAATTTCTTTTTTGTCTCTCACACATGATCATTGAGTCCTGCCTCAGAAACATCTCTCCATGCCAGTTTTTTCTCTCCATACTACCATGCCTTCCACACGTGTACACACATGCTCTCACACGTGTGCACAAACACTCACGCAACGCTTGCACATGTGCTCATGTGCATGCAGAGACTATCATATGGTGCTTGCAACATTCTAGCACATATGTGCATGCGCACACGGCATTTTTACCAACCGATAACCTCTCTAGTCGCTTCCATGACATGCACACATGAAAGCCTCCATGCACTCAGAACTCAGCTCAAATATTTCTTCTCCATTTCTCCACGAGCATTCTTCAGCTTCTCAAGCAGAGTTATATTATTTCCTGTGCTCCCACAAACCTTATTAGTATTTTGGTAATATATGACTGCTAGAAGATATTGTGATGTGTCTATATATATGTATATATACACACAGAGAGAGAGGGGGAGAGGTGGCTGGATAATAAAGCTTTGGAGGCTCACAATTACGTGTTCTTTTATTTATACTTTGTGTCACTGTCATATTCACTTCTGTTGTTTTCATTGTTTTATTTATTGTCGTTATTATTATACCACAAAGTGTGTTTTCAATAATAGTTATTAAATTGATTAATCAATACATGTTTTAATCACTTGCAGCTCACAACATGAGATCAGATGTTCTGACATACTAAATTATTATTAAGGAAAACTGAGATCCTGGTATTCATCCGTAATAATGTGTGTACATAGCTAATAGTTATTGGAGACATTCTATCTGCCAGGTCTTTCTCTGAGAACTTGACATGGATGAACTGTTTTTCCCTATGATACTATCTTTTCTGTCTTATAAGATGAGGTAACTGAGGCATGGAGATGTACAGTAACTTGTTCAAGTTCAAAAATGTAGTAAGTACAGTCACGTGTCACTTAATGATGGGCATATGTTCTGAGAAATGCGTTGTTAGGCAGTTTTGTTCTTGTGTGAACATCGTAGAGAAAATGTACACAAACCTAGATGTACAGCCCATCGCACACCCAGCCCACTGCTCCAAGACTACAAACCCACATGGCACGTCACTAGACTGAATACTGTAGACAACTGTAACACAATGGTGAGTATCATGCACGTGAACTTATCTGAGCACAGAAAAGGTGCAGTAAAAACATAGTATTATAATCTCATGGGACCACCATCCCATATGCAGTCCATCTTTGCGTGAAATGTCCATTACACAGCACAAGACAGTAACAGAAGCAAAAGTCTTTCCTGAAATCATTTTCTTTTCACTACGTTGGTGACACGTGCTCGAAATGATCAATTTTAGCCACTGTGGTAGCCAGCCACCAAGAAGCCCTCAGGGGTCCCTGCCTCCCAGTATTTGCACCTTACTGAGTGACTTTCCACACTGTGCCAGTGTTCACGATGTGGCCCACAGCAGCAGCAGGAATGAAGGTTTGTAGTCTCTAGGTTATCAGAATGATGGTGGCTCCCATTCTGGGCTCCCCCTCCCGCAAACCTTGGTTCGCACCCTGCTCACTCGGAGGGAAGCAAGTCCCATTTTTGTGAGTAGCCCTAGGGAGAAGCCCATGCCAACAGCCATCAAGGGACTGAGGCCTGCCAGCGATTATGTGAGTGGGTTCTCCAGCCCAGTGCATCCCTGGGATACCTACACCCCACCTGACAGCTTTACTGCAATCTCAGGAGACACTCTAAACCAGAATAATCCAGCCACGCTCTTCCTAGATTCCTGCCCTCAGAAACCACGTGAGACTTATTTTAAGCTACTGAGGTTCAGGATGATTTGTTAAACAGCAATCAATAACTAATACAACCATGGAGTCGATTCAGTAAAATTCTTCATATGGCATAAAAAATGCATCCCCTGGTATTCAATCTACAGCACATCACTGGATGGACAGGTAGATACTATGAACTCTAGGTCTTGGCCTGTAATCAAATCCCCTGTGGGGTCTTGGGCAAGACACACTAATTTTCTGGGTCTCTGTCTCCCATCAGTAAAAAGAGGGAGCTTAAAAAGATGATCTCTGTGGCTCCAATGACTTTCTCAAAGATGGTATAACATCTAAGATGAGTCTCAATGATGCTCTCTCAGAATGAGATGAGAGGCATCATATCACCTAAGTCTCAATGGTGTCTTGATCATTCCAGTGAATACCCCCAAATAACACCACGGTCCTTGACCTTGTCCTCCCCCCTGTGCTGCATTCATCATAATAAGCAATGATAACTCAGTGGTTTCCCACACATAAGGGACAAAACGAATCTATAAACAAGGTGGAAGGTTGGAATTTATCACACTCACACACAGGCGGCAGCAGAAGATAGACTCATCACCTAGATCCAAACTTCAAGGATCATTCCCTCTTAGTGCCTTGAAATAAATTACTTATTTTAGGAGTTAGCCTTCCCTGTCAAGGAACTGCAAGAATATATTAAAACCCTGACACTAGGATAATATAACAATGTAAATCTCAACTCTAAAAATACTTACAAGGAGAGAGAATAATTAACTGAGCTCGGGTTGAAGCCCAAGTGAGCGAGTTTGGAAAACATGAACATTCTCCAGTCCCCATTCCTGAGCTCAGGTTTTATTCAGCCCACGGGCTGTCTGTTTATTTATTTATAACATACACCCTGTCTGCTTCCACAAAGAGTCAGAGCAGCCTTTTCCTTTATTTTGAGCATCTGCTGGGAACCAGACTGCATCAGACAATGACCTTCACCTGAACTCTGCAGTGAGCCATTCTGGGAAGTGCTGCATTCTGAGACAGTCTCCCCACCTGAGCTGAGCTGGACTCCTCGCCTCGCCCCTTTCTCTCCCCAGCCACTCTCCAGCACGATGCCTGATGTATTTCTAAGTGCCTGTCTTGGAATCTGGAAGAACACCCTCCTCCTGTCCTCAAACCCAAGGCTGCGTCTCATCGTCTCTCCTGGTGCAATCCAGAAAACATCTCGGCTTCTCTTTCTTTGTTACTCTGGATGCTTTGGAAAGTTATTATTCTCACATACATTTTCAAAAGCCCGTCACAGTTTGCCAGGAATTTGTACATGGAGTGATTTTAGTTCAGATACAGAAATTCTAAGCAGAAAATATACTTAGTTAAGCCCTGTTGAAAGATGCTCAAAAATAGACGGCCAATATGATAAGATACAACCTTTATTTTCTTTGTGACAAATGTCCTACATTGTCAGGATTCTTACTCTGATTAAAAATAAAAATGCAAAATTTTGTAGAGGAAAGAGAAGGAGAAAAGAAGAAAGAGGAAGAGGAAAAGAAGGGGATTGCAAGACTATTTTTTGTACCTATTCATAGCTTTCCTTAGTCTGAAAAGCATTTTAAGTAGCATAAGATTTTAATGCATCTGAAAAATAGGGGTTTTTTTAAATGGCTTTTTATTCCTAAGGCAGAAAAAATTATTATAGCCAGAAATGCCTTGCTATCTGAGATCCTGATGCCCAACTCACCACCTCTGTGGGCACCTTGTTTCCAGAATCCCAGCCCAGACCCTCCTTCTGTTTACCTGCTTGTCTAGAGCCCAGAGCCATCTGCAGCCCTGGGCCTGGCTTACCTTCTCTCCCTGGGACCCTGTCGTTCCAGGAGGGCCAGGTCTTCCCTGGAGGAGAGAGAAAAGGTGGCTTAGGGAGACAGTGGTGGTGAGTGAAGAGAAAGAGGTCAGAGAGCGACTACGGTTCCAAAACTGTGGCTTGGCTTTTCCCCAGAAGCCAAGGTCCCCTGGACTTTGGCTCATACTCTCCGGATTGTGCTTATTGCTGGAAAGTTCTTCCTCGACTAACTTAAATTCCACACCTCCACGATTTGCTCTTTGGCATCACACTGGTGCTGCATTGTGGATCATTGACTCTGAGCGAGCAAAGGGCCATTTCCTTAGGGACCTGAGGGACACATCAGAGAGAACTGGATAAAGGTAGAAGAAGCAAACAACCAAGATTTGCCTTGGGCCCGGGAAGCACCGTAGGCGAAGTCAGATGGAGTCATCTGGAAATCCTTAGAGGTCCGAGGACTGGCTGAGTCTCCAGGCTGGAGGGAGGGAGGAAAGGGCTGCCCAGACACTGGCCAGGATTAGCTAATGCCATGAGGCCACCGAGTTCCCAGAGAGCTGGCAGTGGGGACACTGAAGACGCATTGCTCCTCCTCTCTGATGTCCCCACACAGAAGCTTCCAGGAGCTTCCAGGAAGAAAGCCTGAGCTCCTGCAGGCAGGGGACTAAGGAGAGGCCCCAGGAGCCCCCCACACTGGCAGTCTGCAAACCAGTCTCCTCAGAAATGAGGAAGAACCTGGAAGGCAGTTGGGTGATCAATGTCCATCCCTCCGAAAGAGTGATTTTTGGTAGGAACTTACCCTAAAGATACAATTAGAGATGCATTCCGAGATGCACGAACAATACTCTCGCTCCTGTTCTACTCTGAACAGCGAGGATCTGCACGCAGCTCCGCGCCCGGTGGCAGGAGAGACCCTCCAGGGGCTGGCTGTCTTCCACGTGCTCAGACCCTCCCTGCCGCCCCTCGACCACTGGTACCAGATCTACGTGCTGGTTTATTGTTTTTTCCGCATTTTCTTGTGGGAAGTGGCCTTTTCTTTCTTGGCCATCACCAAGTGGGTACTTCTGGTGACAAGAGCCAGGCCAGGCACAGAGGCAGCACATGATGGACATTTTAAAAACATAAATAAGTTACAGTATATTCACACCATTGAATACTAATTGATCATTTGAATCATGACTTGGGTAAATATTTAAGAGAATGGTTTCACGTTTATGAAATAATGTTGAAGGAAGGGGAACAAGATATAAAACGTATGGCTCCAATTTGTTAAAGGACACTAAATACAAATCCAGATATTATCTCTGGGTGATGAGAATAATTATAAATTTAATTTATATTAATATGGTATATTGAAATTAATACATACTGTAATTAGTTTATATAGTGAAGTTAATTTATGTATTTTAATTATTTTATCCACCATTCGATATTTATATGAATATATTGACTAGTATGTTAAGTTATTATATGAAATATGATAAGCATTTTCCTAATTGTTTTTAATAGGATGTATGATTTTAGGTTGAATTTAATTTTTATTTTTTAGCCATGGGAACAGATCACACATTCACATGGTTCAAAATTTAAGTGCATCAAAGTTTCACTTCCACCCTATCCGCCAGCCCCCTACAGTCCTCTTCCAAAGGCAACCAAACAACAGAATTAATCATTTTCTTGTTTATCCTTCCAGAGAGAGTCCGTGTCTATACAAGTCAGACATGTGTTTCTACCACACCGTTCTACACTTTCCTTTAATTTCCACTTAACAACGACCCTTTTAGACCATTGCCATCAGTACACTGACTTCTTCATGAGTGTCCACAGCTTCATATCACCATCTGTATCAACGCATCCTGACTGATTGAACCAGCTCCTTCCTGATGAGCATTGGGTTATTTCTAATCCTTTACTCTGTGGACAAGAGGGCAATGGATATCCCTGTGCATACGTCACTTTTGATGTACATGATGTCCAAGGCCTTTACGTCAATGATAACACATCATGTTACTCAACGTAAAATGGATTTACAGTGGTGTATTCACTGCGATCCCCCAGCTCTGGCATATGCAGAGTCAAGAGTCAATGAGTGACCATACAGCCAAGGTCTGGTCACTGAAACCCCTGCAGCCTCCAGCTGAGCAGTACAGAAGCCAACCTGCAGAAGCCCTACAGGGCTAAAAAGTGTCAGGGTCCAGCCATCCCTGTCCTCTGACAAGACCAGCCCACCAGCGCCTATGCCCACCTACCTGCTCTCCTGTCTCCCCAGGCTTCCCAGGGAATCCATCCAGGCCTCGCTCCCCCTGGCAAAAGAAGAGAAAGGAAGAAATGAAGAACGGGCAAGTGATCACCAGGGAGCAGCCAGCTGAACAGCCCTATGGTCACTGTCATGAGAAGAGGGCAAGCCAAGGCCCTGAGTGTCAGATCATGTTCAGCTCCACTCTCCACCAGCCACCTCCAATTCAGGAGAGACAAAAGCACACACACAACAGCACTAGAGCTGGTGTGTACTAGAGGGTCAAGGACCATAGATCAAAGGTCATAGAAACTGGATCCATATCTCTGCTTTTCATTTCTTGAATCTGTTACTCAGGAATGGCCATGTACTTTCTGTGAGCCACACAGTGTCCTCATCTCATGGGTCTTGATGGAGGTCAAATGTGGATGAGTGGGGTTTGTGATGCAGTGCATAAAATTGCAGGTGTATTTGTGCATCATTCATGTGTCCAGTACCTATGTATAAACGTGCACTATGTTCCTTGTGCTTGGAATAACTCGAGTTCATCGCTGGCTAACAGTAAGCTATCATCTGTGCGTCTATCCAACGCCTGTCCATCTGCCTGCGTGCAGACTGCGTGCAGAGCTGAGCCGAACCTGTCATTAGCTGTGGGATCCTGAGCCAGTCACTTCTTCTCTCTGACACTGTTCTGTCTCCTGTGTTTCATGCGGAGGAGAATAAATTTTTCCTCAAAAGATACCTGACTAGATAAAGAGATAATACATCTAAAACGCCCACTTATGATCAGCAGTCAGTAAGTGCCAACACTCTACGCACCGTTTTCTTGACCAAGGCCCAGGAGTGTGTTGCACTCACGAGTCATCTGTGTCTAGTGTTTGCAGCTGGTGTCCTTTCAGGTGGGCTGGAAGAACACAGTTGATGGAGAAAGACAGTCTCCAAAAGGTGGATTCAGGCTAATAGTCACAGTCCTTACATGGCACCCCAGCAGCCGTGGCTCCCTTCCTGTTGCTCAGATACAGCAGCTTGTCTCCCGCTTCCCTGCGCTGGGCTGGCTGCTCTCTCTGCTGCCTCCTGCGCACGCTTCAGGGCTCAGCTTAAATGTCACCCCTTGACCTTTTCATACTAATCAGATGCTCTGTGCTGCTCCAGCATGTCTTATTTTCATCTCCCCCATGTCCCTTAATTCAGTTTGCATTTATTATCCATATTTACTGTCATTCTGGCTCAATGAGGACATGAGCTGGGTTCATACTTTTCACTGCTGTGTCCCTCAAGCCCAGCTCAGGGCCTGCCAGCGTGATGACCCAGCTCACATTCATTGAATGACTGGAAGACTACACGTGAAAGTTATTTGGAACCCTCCTTCTATTTCGCTGTAACTTTATTTCCCATGCTGATATTTCTTCGTGTGTGTGTGTGCGTGCGTGTGCGTGCGTGCGTGTGTGTTTCTGAGGTTGCCGTGCTTGTCTTAGGTGGTCTGCCTGTGGGTGTTGATTCCGTTCATTGTAGTCCACTTCTGGGGATGGCAGGGTCAGGTGGGACTTCCTGTAGGTGGGACGCAGCAGTGGCTTTTCTTTTGGGGGCGGATGCTCATATTCCTTCTAGGGATTGCTGGCTACCTGGGGAAAGGTTCTCTCCCTTAGTCTGGGGACAAACATTGATGCTTCCCACCGTCCAGTTCAAGCAGGGGACAAGGGACAAGCTGCTTGACTCAGCTTCCCCAGGTACAGGTCTCCAGTTAGCCACTGATAACCGCCCCAGGATCGCCCACTCCTCACATCCACTGGTGTGAACCTGGGTCGTCCCGGTACCTCTCTGAGCTCTGCAGTTTGGATTCCCCCATCTTTCATCTATATAAACATAATCATATAGGATTTCTATCTCTCATAAGCTACTTAAAAAAATTTAACCCTTATGTACACATTTCTATTTTCAAGCACTATTATATTTTAATTCTTTAAAAAGTCTTTTCACCACATGAGACTTGGAGTGAATGAAAAGGAAGGCTGCCTGTGTTTAATCTCTCCATCAAGTGATTCCAGACCTGCTGTTCCGTCTTCTCCTACCCCAAACTCTGTGAGGTTGGCAGGCTCAAGGGCCAATAAGAGATGAGGAAACTGAGGACAGAGAGGAAGCACATATCCGCAGCTGGATATGTTGGTGCTGGCACCAAAACCGGGGCCACCTAACCCTTAATCCTCTATTCCACTACCCCACAGGGTCTGAGCAGAGGCACCTGGCAGAGCATGCTGGGCTCTCCCTGTGAGTCCTAGAGTGGCTGGGGTGGTCATGGCCTTAAAACCCGTGGAATCCAACCCTCCTATGTGTGGATGAGGAAACTGACAGCCTCCAGCAGTGTGCCTTGTCCAAGTCGCACAGAAAATTAGTGATGGAAACAGGACTAAAGTCAAGCTCTCCTGAGTTCCACTCTAGAAATTTCTTTCTAGTAGTAAGAGATCCTACTAAATATCACCGTGGAATTAGCACTTTTGCAGGGCTCAAAGAAAAATATATTGACCAGTGCTATTTTATAAGTTCTGCATCAAAGCAGAGGGCTCTGCCTGTTGCCCAAGTCCCATTTCACCTCCTTGCACTTACAGACCAGCAGGAGTGGAGACTGAAGCCAAGATTTCTCCCAGCTGCAACTCGGGACAGCTGCAGGTGTGGGAAGGGAGCTTGGCTGGACATGGTGTCAGCACAGGAGAGGGAGCCAGGAGGACACGGCTGGAGGGCTGACAGGTGGAGCTCATCAGCAGGGGTAACAGAGGATGGATGAGGATGGACGAAGAAAGGAAATGAGGTGGTAGAGAGCAGGGAGGGAGAGAGGGAGACGGAGATACAGAGACAGAGACAGAGACAGACAGACAGACCACTGCGCTCGCCACACAAGCACCACTGAGAACAGGTTTGGCTCCTGGCACAGAATGTGCATGAGGCCCAGGGTTCTCTGAGGTGCAGGGCCGCGTGGAGCAGTGGTTACCTTCATGACCCAGCCCCAAGCCCTGGCTCTCCCACGTTCAAGCTGTGCGGCCTCGGACCAATTCCTCAGCATTTCTGTGACTCAGTTTCCCCATCTACAAGTAGAGAGCATACTATTTCCCCAGTAAAGCTGCTGTGAGGTTTAAGTGAGCTCATCTACGTCAACTGCTTAGAATAATGCCTGGCACATGGAAGGTGTATATTAAAAGTTGGTGAAGCAGAATCAGGAGCAGCTGTGTGGGACGGGGGACAAGAGAGAAAGAGAGAGAATCAGCTGAAAGGGACCAGCAGGAGGGGGATGTCATGGAAGGGGAAGGGGGTGTGTGCTGGGGAGACAGAATGGATGAGAGGAGAGCAAGGAGGAAGGGGACCTGAGTTCTAATCCTGGTTCTGTGGATGGTCACCACTGCTGGGGGGGAGGCGACCCCTTGCTGGGGCTCCATGTTGTCATGGGGTTGAGATGATGAAACAAAGAAAAAAGGGCAGTTGTACCACCGGAACTCTAGGGCACCTCTGATTCTCACATCCTTTAATTGACAGACAAGTGTGTGTTGATGCAAATTAAAGGGAACCGATCTTTGTTCTGAGAACCAGGTGCTGAAACAGGCACTATCTTCATGCAAAATTTACAATTGTATGACATATCGTTCCCATTTGCAGCATGGAAACCGAGTCTCAGAGACTACACACGTCATCCTGGTTCACCTGGCTCCACAGGGTCTCAGTCCTGACTTGGGAAGTCCAGGGAGACTCCGAGTGCACTTGCTGTGGTTGAGAACCGCTGGCAGCAGAGGGCCCACTCACCCCACTCGCAGCAGAAAAGCACCCCCGCCCTCTCCAGCCCCGGCGGCCCATTCCTGACCATCTGAAATCCTGATGTTGACATGCACACCTAATGTGTGTATGTGAGTGGGGGTGGGGGATGTGGGTTTCTTTCCCCTCTCCTTCACATAGAATTTAAAAACTCTGATCAAATTGGTGCAATATCTGATAAGCACAGAACTACAGAAATGCATTGTCTTTTCCCCAGAAATAGCTGCAGGCCTCCTCCTCCCATGAAGCAGAACAGCCCACTTGTCCCTCTTGCCCCTCTCACAGTGAGCGCCTCTTGTCTCAGATCCAGTCCAGCTTCATCCCATCCTACATAGACCCTCCCACAGCCTCCTGACCCACTGCCTCCATCTCTGCTCCAATCCGTTGCCTGTCACCAAAGTGGTCTCCTCATCATCTGGTTCTGCGCATCCCGCCTGCCCCAGACCCCGACGGCTTCCTGCACCTGCAGGATCTAGTCCCAACTCCTTGGTCTCACAGTACAGACCACCCGCATCCACTTTGCTCACTCCATGCCACACTGTGGTCGAGTGTCACTGCTCTCTGTCACCTGAGCACATCCCTGCCCTCGCCTGCCTCTGACCCACACTACCACCTCTTTCCAGAAAGCCCACCTTCATTCTAATCTCTGCTGACCAACGTTAGAATGCAGCGCATATGGCGGAAAGGACACATGCTTGGGGGAGCCAGAGGCGGGGTCTACTCTTTCCTGTGCTAGTTCCATGACCTTTAACAAGAACTCTGACCTCTCTCAACCACTATGTGCTCATTTACTAAACAGGGATGTTTAAAGTACTATGATCATCTTTCGTTTGCTTTCTTTTTGGTCAGAATTTGTGAGTTAACCTACAAAAAATGCCTGGTCCTAATAGAAAACCACTCACCGTAGATAATACCATGACAACCCAACCCCAGCACTGGCTCCTCCAGGAAGACTCTCCTGCTCCCTGTAATTTCTCCTTCTGCTGGAATCCGGTTATTCCCTCGCCTCTTCCTCCCATAGCACGCAGGCTCTCCCACCCCGTGCTTTGGGTGTCCTACCTTTTACTCTAGGCTGTGAGCTTTGAAGGGCAGGAGCCTCATTTGATTAGTCATATAGCTTCATAGGACCTAACACTCGATGATGTTCGTGAGATGAACGAAGACGTGCATTGCACCAGCTCTAGTGCAGTAAGTCAACAGCAAACTCCAGAAGCACCTGGTGACCACTGCTGTGCTCAGATCACATCACACAGCCTCGGGATGTGGAGGTGA